CTGCATGTGAGATTAGTGTGGGAGATAGTGAGGTAGTGTAATATGAACAATATATTCATGACACTTAACTATGCATCATGTCCTCATCAAACCTGGATGATAGATGATTCTTGTCTTGCGTGTGGCTGGATGAAGTGACATTGAGTTGGAAGAAACCTTATTCTTTACAGTGAAGCTGAAGCTGATAGATTTAAAGAGCCAACTCAAACATTGTAGTGCCATAAACAATTGTTTTAACGTTGGCTAAAGCAGAGTTCAGTAGTCTATTTACATAGTAATAGTCTGCATGTGGTTCAAATGTCATCTGTGTTCTATTGACTACATTAGATGCCAATATGTTTCTGTATATAGTTCAAGGACTAATTTTGTTCTGTAAAGCCTCACCTGGCTTCTCTTTACTGTTTCAAAAATAATCTATCAAGTAATAGCTCAACATTGAGAGTGGGAGCCTAATGAATCTGCTAATTTGAGCTCTGGGTATTCTCAAAGAAAGACTCTCTATTTAAGATTTGCTTTACTGGTTGGTCAGACAGATTCAGAATTTTACCATTAGGGCACATTGGTAAGATTTCCATTTATTCAGACTTCTTCTGTGTTTAGCTGCTTTAAGGTTCAGTCTTTTGGTGATTGTGTGGGTATTTTTCCCTCATTAACTTTTGTCAACTGTTACCATTTTTATATAGGCACAGTTCCTTAGATGGTTAAAAAAATCAGTTGCACTTGGCAACTGATGCCAACTGATGATTTACCATTTAATATTTAAATTTAAATAACTGAACTTGTAAATTTACTCAGAAAAAGTGAAAGGTACGTTTTATTCTTTGCATCAGTTTTCACGGCTGAGGATATTGGGGAGATTCCCAAACCTGAGCTATTCAGTTTAGGTGACAAATCTGAGGAATTGTCCCATATTGAGATGTCATTAGAAGAGGTTTTGGGACAAACTGATAAACTTAACAGTAACAAGCCACTGGGACCAGATGGCATTCACCCAAGAGCTCTAAAAGAATTTAAATGTGTAATTGCGGAACTACTAACTGTACTTTGTAACCTATCCTTTAAATCAGCATCTGAACCATATGACTGGAAGATAGCTAATGTGAAGACAATCTTTGAAAAGGGCTCTAGAGGTGATCCTGGCATTTAAAGACCAGGAAATCTAATGACAGTACCAAGCAAAATAGTTGAAATTATACTAAATAATAAAATTATCAGACACATAGATGAATATAATTTATTGGGGAAAAAGTCAACATGGTTTCTGTAAAGGGAAATCATGCCTTACTAGAATTATTTGGGGGAGTCAACAAGCATTTGAACAAGGGAGAGCCAATGGATATCGTATATTTAGATTTCCACAAAACCTTTGACAAGGTACCTCACCAAAGGCTCTTAAGTAAAGTAAGTTGTAGTGAAATAAGAGAGAAGGTCCCCTCATGGTCTGATAATTGGTGAAAGGATAGGAAACAATGCGTAGGAATAAATGTCAACTTTAAGAATACAGAGGTAAACTAGTAGTGTCCCACAGAGGTCAACATTGGGACCTATCCTAACATACTAAAAAATGATCTGGAGAAAGGGGTAAACAGGGAGGTGGCAACATTTGCAGATGAAACAATTTATTAGTGAATGTTTGAAATCAAAATCAAGGTCAAATTTAATAAATTAAGATACATGAAATCTAGGTCAAGGGCAGGTTGTAAGGGAAGTAAATAGCAAACAAGGTTAACAATCTATAAACGTAACCTGCCTTGTCCCAGATACAAGAGATGTAGAGTTAACATTTAAGACAATATTAATTAAATCTTGGGGTGACCACCCACTAGGTAAGATAAATCTCTCTCAAGTAATCACAGATAATAAATCTATGGGGTTGAAGGAGCCCAGTGATGTGGGCCTGTCCTATGTCATCTTCCTTCCAGTTTAATACAACAGCAATAACCATTAGGAGAAAAGAGAAAAAAATTATCAAGGCCACCAATTAAGCATAGTTCATCAATTAAAGGAAGCCAATGCTTCCCCTGACCCAGTCCCTCGTCAGTCCACATCATCCTTCTGCATCACTGTCCCTTGTCATCTATTGGGGAGTTTTTAACTCAGTCAATAAAAGTCCTTTGATGATTAAGCATAGACCATCAGGTAAAAGAAGCTAAAACTTCCCCTAACATGGTCCTTCATCGATCTGTGTTCTCTTCTTGGTGAGACAAAGTCTGTCAGGTAAAAGAAGACAATGCTTCTCCTGACCCAACTGCTCCAAGACCAAGCAAACTATGAAGAGCTTAAAGGGATCCCACAAAACTAGGTGACTGGGCAACAAAATGGTTAATGAATTTTAATGTTGATAAATGCAAAGTAATAGATAAATTCATGGGGAATAGGTCCATCACTGCTTATTAGCCAGGATGGGTAGGAATGGTGACCCCAACCTTTGTTTGTCAGAAGTTGGGAATGGGTGACAAGGGTGGGATCACTTTATGATTACCTGTTCTGTTCATTCCCTTTGGGGCATTTCCTGGCATTGGCCACTGTCAGTAGACAGGATACAGGGCTAGATGGACCTTTGGTCTGGCCCAGTGTGGCCATTCTTATAAATCCATTAAAATAAAACTCTGGTCATTTATCCATGTTGGGACTAGTATTTCCCAATAGTTACTTGAATGTATGGCCACTGGAGCATGGATAAACTGTTTCCAGGTCTTGTACATTTAATTGGTTTCATGAGGACTTTCTGCCCCTCCTCTGCTACTGGTTTGAGGAGGCTGTTTTGCCAAAGTGTCCTGCAAATGAAAGAAGCTACCTCTCCTTTATTTCAGTTTTATCAGGTGTCAGAATAATCATTGAGGCTGTGTGCTTTTCTTCACCATACTAGGGGTATGTCTAAACTACATGGCTCCGTTGATGGAGCCATGTAGATTAGTTTACTCGACAAAGGGAAATGAAGTGGCGATTTAAAGAATTGCCGCTTCATTTAAATCAAAACGGCCGCCATGCTGTGCTGATCAGCTGTTTGTCGGCACAGCGCGGCAGTCTAGACGGGGATCTGCCAACCCCAGAACCCTTCGTCAGCAGATCCTGTAAGCCTTGTTTCACAAGGCATAAAGGATCTGCTGATGACGGGTTCTGCGCTGTGCCAACAAACAGCTGATCGGCACAGCGTGGTGGCCATTTTGATTTAAATGAAGTGGCAATTATTTAAATCGCCGCTTCTTTTCCCTTTGTCATCCTGTCTCATCTACATGGCTCCATTGACAGAGCCATGTAGTTTAGACACATCCTGACTGATTTTGGAAGCCACCTACTGTTTGACTTGATCACTTAAGAAGCAGAATTATGTATGAGAGAAATTAGCCCCCTTTTCTGAATACAGCCTGGGAAAACTATTCAAATCCGTTGCATTTTGCTCTTGGGAGGATCAATTATCGACAAATTATAAAGTACTTTGGGATGTCCTTAGCAGAAAAAAGTGCAAAGATGAGTAGAAACTGTTAATATTATTTTATTTTAAATATTTATGATATATCCACTATTCTATTAAAGCCATAATTTGCTTGTTTATAAAGAAGTACTAATTATAATAATTGTTAAGCTGGAGAGATTGTTTTAGTGTTCCAATATAGTTTTCTTGTACAGGTTGGACCTCCCTGGTCTGGCACACTGGGGAACTGATCAGTCCCGAACAAAGGAATTTGCCAGACCATGGAAGGTCCCCTGCCACCAGCCCCTACCAAGTCTGCCGACTCTCTCTGCCACTGGCTCTACTTCTGATCCAACCAGCCCCCTGCCTCTGGTCTAGCCAGCCCCCAGGATAGCTACCATGAGCTACCCAGCTGGGGCTGCCACAGTCTCCCAGCCATTGCTGGGGCTGCTGGATGCCAGCCTACTGCCACTGAACTCCTGGCCTGGGGCTCTCTAATTCATGAACATCCATGGTCCTACAGATGTTGCTGGACCAGAGAGTCCTCATTTAGGGAGGTAGAACCTATATCTAACTTTTTTCATGAACCTAATTATATTTTTAGTGAATTTTCAATGAAATTTCAATTTTCTATGAAATTTCTATTTCAATTTTTTTAATGAAATTTTCTAATTATTTATGTTCATAGAACATATTTTCTCATAATAAGGCCAGTTGGGGCAAACACTTTCAGGTTAGATGTCTCAATAAGAGTGCAAAGATGTATTAAATATTTTGTCATAAAGTTCTATGAATAAACAAAAAACTATCAAGTTACATATTCAGTTCTTTACTTTTTTCAATGCAAATGTGCATATTGTTCCTAACTTCATCTTTTGTAACTATTTTAACATTTCAGTGTGTATGTCAGAGATGTAAATAAATTTAAAATGTAAGTTTGGTGCAATCATGTCCATATTTTTAATGTTTTAAACAAATTATCATTAGTGAAATTAAGTATTTTAGTAAATATCTGGTACATCTCATGTTTTCATAACTGGGATTTTGTAAAAAAAAAAAAAGATAAATGCAGAGTGTTGAATTATATATGGAATTCACTGGTTTTTCTGATAAAAATTCTTAATTTCCTTAAAATTTTCTTAATTTCATCTCTTTGCTCCCATTACATTTTATTATTCACAATTGCATGCCTGGAGGACACACTGTATAAATTCTCGCCATCTCTGGGAAAATCTGATCCACATATAATTTTTAGTATTGATGCTGTTTTTCTTCCAACTCTTTAATTTCTGTTTTCCCAAGATGTACACATCCATGAAGAAACATTAGCTAAATATTCTGATCAACATTCCTCCTATTTCCCCCCATTATTTGCTCCTGAATTTCTGCTTGTCTGTATTCTCAAAGTTTGGCTTTTCTACCACGTCTACTCTCTGTATTTCAGATTGTTTTTTAAGGAGAGAATATATCCATTGATTCTTTAACTGTTTTTAATTCATTGTTATAACTTGTTAAACATCAGTCTAAATTTGCTTTGGATAAACAATCCTTATTTTTATGGCTACCTCTGCCTTTGTTTTTCTAGGTTGTGCTGCTGCATCAGGAGGAGCTGAAGATGAAGGTGAGGCAGAAGCTGGATGGATTGAAGGTGCTGCTATTCTACTCTCTGTTATTTGTGTTGTACTCGTCACAGCCTTTAATGACTGGAGCAAGGAGAAGCAGTTTCGTGGGCTTCAAAGTCGTATTGAGCAGGAACAGAAATTTACGGTGGTCCGAGGGGCACAAGTTATTCAGATCCCAGTGGCAGAGATAGTAGTTGGTGACATCGCACAGGTTAAATATGGTAAGTTTCCCCAGGTACATTTTCACAACTACTTTCTGGGTCTTAGCAGCTCTGGGAAAATCTGACACCTTCCCCACCCCTCCCCCACCCTGCTCCTCCTGCCCTTTCCCCTCATTGTCTCCTCTTGGCCCCCTAGCATTTGCCTCTTCTCCACACTGCCCCTTTCTTCTCCTGCCATGGCCCCCTCCTCTCCTCTCAGCACAAGCCCCTTCTGCTCCTCACCCCCACCTTCTCCTTAGTTCTCCCCTTGCCCCTCCCCTTCCTTTATTCCTTCCTGACAACTGCACCCCTTAGCCCCCCAAGCTTCTTGGTGCTGCGGTGGGGTAGCATGGCAGGTGGCTTCCCTGTGTGCCAGGGCTGGAGCTGGGGCTGTGGTGCTATTTTTAGTACCCTGGCCCCATCCCAGAAGCAGCTGCACCATGGCCCAGCTCCAATCCTGGCACATGAGGCAGCCGCCCACCATGCAGGAGCAGCTGGGGCTAAGGCTGTGTGGTGGCTTCTAGGGCTGGGGCCATGGTATTAAATATAGCACTGCAGCCCCAGGTCCAGTCCCGGCACACAGGACAGACACCTGCTATGCAGCCCAGCCCTGAGAGCTGCTGGGGCTGGAGCTGCGTGGTGGCTGAGGCTGGGACCATGGCACTAAAAATAGCTCTGCAACCCTGGCACCAGTCCTGGCACACAGGGCGCAGCCATGTGGTGGGGAGCTGCCCCATGTGCTGGGACTAGAGCCAGGGCCAGAGTGCAGCTGCTCCTGGGCCAGGGCCGCGATGCTATTTTTAGTACCATGGCCCAGGCTCCAGCTCTAGCAGCCGCCATGCAACCCACCCTGGCAACAGCTCCAGCCCTGGGGAAGGGCTGAAGCTGGGGCCACATAGTTGCTACTCAGCTGTTCCTGGGGTGGGGCAGCCACCTATGACAAGACCTCACCTCAGAGCAGCTGAGTAATCACTGCCATGCTAAAGAGGTGGGCAAGAGTCAAATTGTTGGTGTGTGCCCGTGCAGACGCGTACCTTAGAGGGAACTATGATCACCTTTACAGCCTTTTTAGAAAATTGGTGTCACATTAGCTATATTCCAGTCACATGGTACATTAAATCACATGGTGATTTAAAGGATAAGTTACAAATCACAGCTAATATCTCCTCAATTTGACATTTGAGCTCCTTCAGAACTCTTAGGTGAATGCCATCTAGTCCTGGTGATTTGTTAGTGTTTCGTTTACTGTTTACTGTTCAATTTGTTCCAGAACTCCTCTAATGATACCTTGATCTGGGACAATTCTTTAGACCTAAATAAATGGCTCAGGGTTGGGAATCTCCCTATTGTTCTCAGCCATGGAGACTGATGCAAAGAATTCATTTAGTTTCTTCACAATTATCTTATTTTCTTTGAGTGTTCCATTACCATCTCGATCATCCAGTGGCCCCAAAAGTTTTTTAGCAGGCTTCCTGCTTCTGATGTACTTATAAGACATTTGCTCTTACTTTTTGATTTTTGGCTAGCTGGTCTTCAAACTCCTTTTTGGCTTTCCTTATTATATTTTTACACTTCATTTGACAGCGCTTATGCTCCTTTCTATTTTCCTCACTAAGATTTAACTTCCGCTTTTTAAATGATGCCCTTTTATATCTCACTATTGCTTTTACTTGGTTTTTAAGCCATTGTGGCAATTTTTTGGTTCTCTTACTGTGTTTTTTTATTTAGGGTATACATTTAAATTGAGCCTCTATTATGGTGCCTTTGGAAAGTTTCTATGCAACTTATAGGGATTTTATGTTTTTATTTCTGTTGAACTAACCTCATTTTTGTATCATTTCTCTTTCTGAAATTAAATGCCACAGCATTGGGTATTTTCCCCACCATAGGAATGTTAAATTTAATTATATTATGATCCTGTGCTCCACTTAGAAGTAAATCAAGAATTGCCCCATCTCTTGTGGGTTCCAGAAGTAGCTGCTCCAAAAAGCTGAGGTAACATGTACCCAGTCAATATAGGGATCTTTGAAATCCTTAATTATTATTGAGGATTTTTTTAAATTGATAGCCTCTCTAATCTTCCTTAGCATTTCACAGTCACTATCATGATCCTGATCAGGTGGTTGGTAATTTATCCCTACTGCTATATTCTATTATTAGAGCATGGACTTACTATCCTTAAAGATTCTATGGAAGAGTTTGAAATGTTTTGTCTGAAATTTTCCTTGCCAACTACTGCTTCCTCTCTTGGATACTGCAGAGGGTGCAGCAAGAGGGGGAGGCTGTAAGTGGTTGTTTAGCTGCCTGCAAAAATGGTCCTCCGGGTAGGAGGAGGAGTAGCAAGACCATGTCTGCAACCTAGAAAATGAAAATGTAGTTGGGCTGTGGGAATTCATGATAGGTCTATCTAGTGCTTATGTGTCACAGAAGGGGCACAATACTTGTCAGCCCTGTCAGCCAATGCTACTTAGTGAAAAATCCCATAAGCCCTGTCAGTGCCCATCTCCCTTTGATCTTCTCACAGCTGCTAACTTGTATCTGGGATAGGAAACTTCACATTCTAAAAAGGTGAAACTTGTCTTCAGTGTGATTTGAACATTGCCATGTTAGGAGTTCTCTTCTTTCTGAGATAGCACTGAACTAAATTCTTGGCCCTCCCTTCCACAGGCTGTCTATTGGGCTTGGGAAAACCAGGAATATAGGGGATACATAAACTGTACATACAACATAAACTGTTGTAATGTGTACCCTTCCATGAGTTGTTCAGTTCAGTGGCTCTGAACCAGAGGTACGCGTACTCCTGGGGGTGTGCAGAGGGATTCCAGGGGGTATATCATCTTATCTATATATTTGCCTAGTTTTGCAACATGCTACATGAAAAGCACTAGCATAGTCAGTACAAACTAAAATTTCATACAGACCATGTCTTATGTATATGTTGATTTTGTAAGTAAGTAGTTTTCAAGTGACGTGAAACTTTGGGATATACAAGACAAATTAGACTCCTGAAAGTGATACAGTAGTCTGGAAAAATTGAGAGATACTGGCTTAATTAAATGGCTATTTTAATTGTTGAGTTTTAAGTAACATTTTATAAGATTAATTATGTTATAGAAATGCTCCCAATCCACACACATACCTTACTAAGGCCCTCTGGTTTATTTTACCTTGACCTTAATTAATAGGTGATCTCCTGCCTTCTGATGGGATTTTCATTCAAGGAAATGACCTTAAAATTGATGAAAGTTCTTTAACTGGAGAGTCAGACCAAGTCCGCAAATCTGTTGACAAGGACCCTATGCTGCTATCGGGTGAGTCTGTTTTTTATTTTTTCTGTCGTTTATGCACATCAAACTTTTGATGCTCTTTTTCCCTCCCCCCCTTTTTTGTTGTTGAAAAGTTGTCCGTAATTTTAGAAATACTATTAATCTGTCAGTGCAACCGTCTCATCGTAGGTGGTGGGGTCATGCTGGCTCACCCATGCCCAAAGGTCCGGTGGCAGTTTCTGTACGAACTGGTCAATAACCAGGGTCTCCATGATCTTCTCTGCATTGCGGATATTGGGGTTCAGTCACTTCCGAGTGATGTAGATTAATTTGAACAGCTGGGGTCTTGAAGGCTTTTCTTCTTGGTTCTTCCACGCATGATACTTCTGGACCCAGGCAGCCATGGTTGCCCCCAGTTGGGCTAATATTTCTTCTTTGAGTCAGGGATAAACACTTGCGTGTTCCATCGGTAAGGCGTAATAGGCTCGCTGAGCTTCTCCACTAAGAAACCGGTCAAGGATTCTGGCCCATTGTTCCTCTGGCAAGGCCTCCCGCTGTGCAGTCCTCTTGAACACAAGGAGATAAGTCTCTACGTCATCATCCGGTGACATCTTGGCTGAGGCCCTCGGCCAAGCTGAGGCCCTCAGGGCTCTCACACTCTCACTGCTGGGCACTCGACCTACCCACCCCCACAACCGGTCAAGCACTTCCCCAAGGAGGGTGCGATCTGCGGCAGCCTGCTCCCCTTCGTTGCCCTGGGACTTCCCTAGAGGCATGGGTCCCCGCTTACCGAGTCATTCTCATTACAGGCCAGTCCTTGGGGTTCGGCACTTCCTTGCTTTGCTTTGCTCTGCTCTGCTCTGCTCTGCTTCCAGAACTCTCCCCCCTGCTGCCTGAAAGGAATCCCTTTATAGGGACCCGGGGGCCTTAATTGGCAAGAGGTGCTGAATTAACCCCTTCTGTGGGCTGACTCCTAATTAGGCCTCTATTTTCTACCCTGGCTGCTGGGTTGTGTTCAGGTGAGGCTAATTGGGAAACAAGAAGGCATTAACCCACCTCCCAATATGGCTGTCTTCTATAAGAGCTTTGCAGTTTGCAGGCTGTGGTCTGTCATAGGCTCTTTGTTGACTACTTGTTTTGAATTTTGATGTAGTTTGGCTCTGTGGTTTGAAAAGGTTGCCAACCCCTGTTCTAAAGAGTAACATACAGAGAAACCTGTTGGGGAACATTTTAATTTGCCTAGGCACCCACTAATGGATTTAAATGTGGCTATTCTCTTACAAAACAACTCTATTAGCCTCCTTTAGCATGGACACTGTAATTGAAAGGGATTTCTCCTTTCCCTCTACCCTCTTTTTCTGCTTTATAATTCAAACTCTTTGCCACTTGCTCCATATTGGTCATCTGAAGAAGTGGGTTGTGCCCACAAAAGTTCATAATACTATTTATATATTTGGGTTAGTCTCTAAGGCTATGCCTACACCGCAGCATTATTTCAGAATATCTGTTGTTATTCCGAAATAACAAACAGCATGTCTACACTACAAGCCATTATTTTGAAAAAATGGTGAGCAGGAGGACTTCTTACTCTGATTCCTATAACCCTCATTTCACGATGCATAAGGGACATCGAAGGAAGAGTGTTCTTCCTTTGACTTCCTGCTGTGTAGACATCGCCAAAAGCCGAATTAAGCTATTTCATAGAATCATAGAATCATAGAATATTAGGACTGGAAGGGACCTTGAGAGGTCATCGAGTCTAGCCCCCCGCCCTCAAGGCAGGACCAAGCTCCGTCTACACCATCCCTGACAGATGTCTATCTAACCTGTTCTTAAATATCTCCAGAGAGGGAGATTCCACCACCTCCCTTGGCAATTTATTCCAATATTTGACCACCCTGACAGTTAGGAATTTTTTCCTAATGTCCAATCTAAACCTCCCCTGCTGCACTTTAAGCCCATTACTCCATGTCCTGTCCTCAGAAACCAAGAGGAACAAATTTTCACCTTCCTCCTTGTGACACCCTTTTAGATATTTGAAAACCACTATCATGTCCCCCCTTAATCTTCTTTTTTCCAAACTAAACAAGCCCAGTTCATGAAGCCTGGCTTCATAGGCTTCTCTAGACCTTTAATCATTCTTGTCGCTCTTCTCTGTACCCTTTCCAATTTCTCCACATCTTTCTTGAAATGTGGCGCCCAGAACTGGACACAGTACTCCAGCTGAGGCCTAACTAGTGCAGAATAGAGCGGCAGAATGACTTCACGAGTTTTGCTTACAACACACCTGTTGATACAACCTAAAATCATATTTGCTTTTTTTGCAACAGCATCACACTGTTGACTCATATTCAACTTGTGGTCCACTATGACCCCTAGATCCCTTTCCGCCATGCTCCTTCCTAGACAGTCGCTTCCCATCTTGTATGTATGGAACTGATTGTTCCTTCCTAAGTGGAGCACTCTGCATTTCTCCTTATTAAACCTCATCCTGTTTACCTCCGACCATTTCTCTAACTTGCTAAGGTCATTCTGAATTATGTCCCTATCCTCCAAAGAAGTTGCAACCCCACCCAGTTTGGTATCATCTGCAAACTTAATAAGAGTACTCTCTATCCCAATATCTACATCATTGATGAAGATATTGAACAGTACGGGTCCCAAAACAGACCCTTGAGGAACTCCACTTGTTATCCCTTTCCAGCAGGATTTAGAACCGTTAACAACAACTCTCTGACTACGGTTATCCAGCCAATTATGCACCCACCTTATCGTGGCCCTATCTAAGTTATATTTGCCTAGTTTATCAATAAGAATATCATGCGAGACCGTATCAAATGCCTTACTAAAGTCTAGGTATATGACATCCACCGCTTCTCCCTTATCCACAAGGCTCGTTATCTTATCAAAGAAAGCTATCAGATTAGTTTGGCATGACTTGTTCTTCACAAACCCATGCTGGCTATTCCCTATCACTTTATTACCTTCCAAGTGTTTGCATATGATTTCCTTAATTACCTGCTCCATTATCTTCCCTGGGACAGACGTTAAACTGACCGGTCTATAATTTCCTGGGTTGTTCTTATTCCCCTTTTTATAGATGGGCACAATATTTGCCCTTTTCCAGTCTTCTGGAATCTCCCCTGTCTGCCATGATTTTTCAAAGATCATAGCTAAAGGCTCAGATACCTCCTCTATCAGCTCCTTGAGTATCCTGGGATGCATTTCATCAGGACCTGGTGACTTGCTGACATCTAACTTTCCTAAGTGATTTTTAACTTGTTCTTTGTGTATCCTATCTTCTAAACTTACCCTCTCTCTGCTTGTATTCACTACGTTAGGCACACCTCCAGACTTCTCGGTGAAGACCGAAACAAAGAAGTCATTGAGCATCTCCGCCATTTCCAAGTTCCCTGTTACTGCTTCTCCCTCCTCACTAAGCAGTGGGCCTACCCTGTCCTTGGTCTTCCTCTTGCTTTTAATGTATTTATAAAAGGTCTTCTTGTTTCCCTTTATGCCTGTAGCTAGTTTGATCTCATTTTGTGCCTTTGCCTTTCTAATCTTGCCCCTGCATTCCCGTGTTGCTTGCCTATATTCATCCTTTGTTAGTTGTCCTAGTTTCCATTTTTTATATGACTCCTTTTTTATTTTGAGATCATGCAAGATCTCCTTGTTAAGCCAAGCTGGTCTTTTGCCATATTTTCTATCTTTCCTACACAGCGGAATTGTTTGCTTTTGGGCCCTTAACAACGTCCCTTTGAAATACTTCCAACTCTCCTCAGTTGTTTTTCCCTTCAGTCTTGCTTCCCATGGGACCTTACCTACAAGTTCTCTGAGCTTATCAAAATCTGCCTTCCTGAAATCCATAACCTCAATTGTGCTGGTCTCCCTTCTACCTTTCCTTAAGATCATGAACTCTATTATTTCATGATCACTGTCCCCTATACTGTCTTCCACTTTCAAGTTCTCAACTAGTTCCTCCCTATTTGTTAAAACCAAATCCAGAACAGCTTCTCCTCTGGTAGCTTTTTCAACCTTCTGAAACAGAAAGTTGTCTCCAATGCAGTCCAGAAACTTATTGGATAGCCTGTGCCTCGCTGTGTTAGTTTCCCAACATATGTCTGGATAGTTGAAGTCCCCCATCACCACCAAATCTTGGGCTTTGGATAGTTTTGTTAATTGTTTAAAAAAGGCCTCATCCACCTCTTCCACCTGGCTAGGTGGCCTGTAGTAGACTCCTAGCATGATATCACCCTCGTTTTTTACCCCTTTTAGCTTAACCCAGAGACTCTCTACACAGCTATCTCCTACGTTCATCTCCACTTCAGTCCAAGTGTGTACATTTTTAATATACAAGGCAACCCCTCCTCCCTTTTTTCCCTGTCTGTCCTTCCTGACAGAATGTGCTCAGCATGTTTGTCTTAGACCTGCCCACTCTTCCCTGTTGAAGAAACAAAAACATGAACAGGGAAGAACTGTTCATTCTTCTTTTAAAAGACTAGGGGGGCAGTGTCCCCTGCTCTCTCTGCTTCCAAACTCAGCCAGCTGGTCTTTTGCCATATTTTCTATCTTTCCTACACAGCGGAATTGTTTGCTTTTGGGCCCTTAACAACGTCCCTTTGAAATACTTCCAACTCTCCTCAGTTGTTTTTCCCTTCAGTCTTGCTTCCCATGGGACCTTACCTACAAGTTCTCTGAGCTTATCAAAATCTGCCTTCCTGAAATCCATTACCTCAATTGTGCTGGTCTCCCTTCTACCTTTCCTTAAGATCATGAACTCTATTATTTCGTGATCACTGTCCCCTATACTGTCTTCCACTTTCAAGTTCTCAACTAGTTCCTCCCTATTTGTTAAAACCAAATCCAGAACAGCTTCTCCTCTGGTAGCTTTTTCAACCTTCTGAAACAGAAAGTTGTCTCCAATGCAGTCCAGAAACTTATTGGATAGCCTGTGCCTCGCTGTGTTAGTTTCCCAACATATGTCTGGATAGTTGAAGTCCCCCATCACCACCAAATCTTGGGCTTTGGATAGTTTTGTTAATTGT